AACAGTTGTACGACAATACTAGTTAATCTACTAAATAAGTAATAAAATGAAAGTGGAATTTGTTAATGCAAAGATACCTGCGGTTTGCGATAAACTAAATTGTATCGATAAAAATGTATAATCTAGACGTTTCCAGTATCCTACACAGTACACAGTTTCAACTAACGACATTGTGACAATAATAATAGACAACAGAGGTCTCAGCCRGGGCCCGGAATGACAGGTAGAAATATAATATAATATTATGTTATACCTAATGTTTCAATTTTGATAGTTGATAATTTTTTTTTATAATAATTTAAAGTCAAATGTCAATTGTCAATAAACCTAATAAAATTATCAAAATGTTTGGGGCAAGCCATTTGGGGAGGGGGCTAAAGCCCGTTAGCCACCCCCTTGGGTGCGCCYTTGATTGGTCATGTCTGGAAGTCTTAGCGACTTTGTTCATATATTAGTATATTATACTTAATGATTATTACTTTTTTGCAACCATAAAAAGACTAATTAAGCATTATACTTCATAATGTTAAAATTATGAAAGTGTTATGTGTTTGTTTTGGTAAAATAACTGTCAGAATATAAATGGCATGCACTTGCCAACATCAGCTAGGACATTATGTTAGAATTTTTTAGCAAATTCTAACTACCTACATCAATAAATATATTATTCTGCTGATGCAAATGATACAATAATTATAATTCAGAAAAATAAAAGTAATGTTTAACTTGACTAAACAATTTTTCAAATTAAAAACAGATAACAAAATTTTTAGAGAATAAATATTGGCTAATGTTGAGAAATAATTAGTTTTTATAAAAATGCTAATTCAAGGTTTTTACGAAACATGATTTTCTTCTAAATACAAAACATTCTCGATATCAGAACAAATATTAATTTTAAGAAATGATTATATCTTACCATAAGCATTTTGAAATCTCCTCTCTCATTGGGATTTTTCTTTAAGCATCTGTCTACAAAATCTTTGAAGGCATCAGAGAATATACCAGCTGGTAATGTAGGAGGTGGTTCATTAACAATGTAATCAAGGAGTTCAAATATGGCCATTGGTCTAGGTCCATTTCCATTTGCTAAAATATATTCACATGGATAAAAAAAAAATATGTAAGTCAACTGAACTCAAAAAAATTTAAACATGTTGATATTCAAAAATTTTAAAGTATTTTATAAACATTAAAAAAAAAATGATTTTAAAATACTGAATGGGAATGAAAGCTAATTTAAATATCCAATCGCTTAATACATAAAAATATACTATATTTTATTTTGTAGTTATATTTAAAACTTTCTTACCAAAGACATCACCTTCGATGTTTTCTAATGTTTCAGTCGCCTGTGATCTAGGACCAAATATTGACGCTAAAGTTTTTGCATCAGGTGCGGGTATCGGATACATTCCAATGGCCATTTCAACCAAAGATAATCCCAATGACCATATATCACTTTGTAATGTATATTGTGTACCTTGCAGTCGTTCAGGCTTAAAAATTAAGTTAAATAAAATAAATTATAAGAATTAAAAGTAAAATKTTATCATAGGTTTTGTTTTTATTACTTACTGACATATATGATCTAGTACCAACAAATGAGTTAGCCATAGAGTCTATTAATTGTCCAGATACACCAAAATCACAAATCTTAATTTCTCCAGMACTGTTTACTAAAATGTTACTGGGTTTGACATCTCTGTGAATAATGGAATGTTGCTCTCGTAGATAAATCAGACCTTTGACAACCTATGGAAATAGAAAAAATGTGATTTTTTTCTGTAACTAAAAATTATTAATGTGGACGCACAGCAGCAGTTATAGTTCCAAGCATTGGCTCAGGTATTCTAGTCTTTTGCAATATGAGATCAAGGGAACCGCCATCCATATATTCCATACAAATACTAATTTCACCATCACTATAACCATATGGTAATTTTACAAACACAATTGATGATTATTTWTATTAATTAAAAAAATTAAGACAATTACCTGTAAAATGCTCCATAAAAACCAACTATGTGTGCATGGTTACACTCATGCAAAATTTTAAGCTCCCGAATGATTTGTTTTTTTATGGCAGGCTTTACTTCTAAGTGTATAAGCTAAAAATAAAGTTTTAATATTTATAYATGTATAAATACCTAAAAGTGATGTGTCAAATCATTGAAATAGTATTTATAGTCGATTATATAATACCTTTGACTATGTATCATATAATTTTGTCTACAATACGTTTTAGTCTTAAATATTATAAAAAAAAATAATAAATTATATGCATTAGGAAATCAATTGAGTTTGTTATGTTCCATTACTTTTCTGGCCATGATGAGTCCACTAGACTTGTGTTTGACTTTCATAACTACTCCACCGTTGCCAGCACCTAGTTCACCATCTTTCATTTTCTCAAAGTCTGCATCACTAAGTTCACCCCCAATCTTCTCCTTTTGACATAAGAATAATTCCATTCGTTTCCGTTGTTCGTCGTCCATTCCCACTCGATCCAATTGTTCTTGTAAGCTTGCTACGCTTAACTTGTCGCATCTGTAATGTATACAAAAATTATGCAAGCGTTAGTTAACCAACCAGTCTCAACAGACAATTTTTGTCTTTGTAGTCTATTTACCCTGCGTCCGATGCCGCCGATAATGGTGCAGATGGTGACACCGGCTGTTGGTTGTCAGCCACACCAGGAGGAAGGGTCAAGTTTAATTTGTTCTTCGACATATTCCTTAATGATCTCACAGAAGAATTTCTTAAATGATTGATAATTGAAATTGTATAGAGTAACGTTATCTTTGTATTAATGATAACGAATAAGTTAGGAACCAAAGTGAATTTCGATTTGCTTCACCATGGTTAATGACGTTTTTGTTCAGTGTTATGGTTCAAGTCGACCTCATATTTTAGTSTGTTGTACGAATGAACATTTGTTCTAAATCAAAAAGTGCGTAATATAAAATGTAATATTATTATGTTCTAAATGTTTATTACAATTTACAATAAATAAGTTATGAAATAAACGTTCATTGGAACGAATATACGTGAAATTGAGAAAAGATAAATTTCTGGAACAAAATATATTCATTGGAATAAATGTAAAATTTAGAAATTGAAATAACTGAAAAAAGTTGACTTTGGAAAAAAAAAAACATGTGGGTGTGGGACAAAACGTAGTTATCCCAATCTGAGTAAAACTAAATTTAACAATTTAACAAAAATATAATTTTCTGTTATAGATAGTTTAAAAGATTCAATCTATGTTTCTGTGGTTCTACAGAACACAATTGTCACTAATTTTGTACTTTTAGTGTCCTTTTAGACAGTGTATAACTTTGGTAGTTTCGCCAGTTGGACACTGTCTTCTTTTCGGGAAACCTCGTATTCTAAGCGTGCCGAACGCATCCCGGTGGGCATGTACAGAGCGAATGATCCTTTATTTTAAATGCTATTCCTATTGATTTTAAAAATTAAGCTTTTATTTTAAATTTTAAAATTTTTTATTTTTTRAACTATATATACAATCTGTTCTTTTAGAAACAATAAGATTATGTGATAAATTCTAGTTTTTTACATGATTAATATCAATATGACGAGAGACACTACCCTTAAGTGTTGTTTTTATTTTTTATCTATTTTTTCTATCTATAATATTCTTTAGATTAATTATTGAGAATATGTCGGCACTAATTTCTTTTGAGCCTTCTAGAGAGATTTCCAGGAATTGTGAGTGGCGAAGCTCATAGGYGCACATAGGGAGGTGCTTGGGGGTGCTTAGCACTCCCAGGTTTAAAATTAGCACCRCATAAACTATTTAAAATATTTATTACATAGTCATATCTTTTGAAATATTATTATATAAATCTGTTTATGTATATCAGGATATTTTGAAAATATCTTTTTTTTTATTTTATTTTATTTTTTATTTTATAATAAGACATTCCTAGCCTATAAGGC